TTTTACATATAAAACTATCTAATACAGACATATTACTTATATATTGACATATCAATCAAACAATGTACTTATATTTGGTATCTGGTAAGCGTAAAATAAATTTGTATTAGGTTTTCTTTAAAAAGTTTAGCCTCAAAAATCGCTCATACTTCTGTGGTCCCCAGTCAGGCATTTTGAGAAGATCATCAATTTTACTAAAACCGCCACGCAACACTCTAGAAAAAAATTACTACTGTAAGGAGGAGCATTTCAGGTAATTTTTGTTGTTGTAAAATGTTTCCAAAAAGAGACAAACTTTACCTAAACGTCAGAATTTGCTCTGCAGTCTTCAGCCCAACGGATTGCAGTTTCTCCACCAAGCTCTTTTGGGTTCCGTGGTTGAGCAACTTTAACACCATTTTTGAATGCGACGTGTGCGGACTTTCTATGCTGTAATAGAAAAAGGTTTTTCAAGCAACAAGATTTAAAAAATCAGTTACCTTCTAGGATTTTTCGACCCGCGATTTGCCTGAGGTGTGTTTAGATATTTTTCATTACATTTCTGAGCCTTGAGTCTCATCGATTTTCGTCGAGTTCCCGTGTTCGTTTTATGGTCATTGCCGTTGTTGAAGATTGGCGTATTCTGCATCACCTCTGTCATCGCGTCATCTTCAGTTTTTTTACGTTTTGAACTTGTTATAACGGAATCAAACCACCAGTCGGATTTCATTAAATCAACTGATTGGTTGGCTTGATGCTTTAAAGCTAATCGACTGCTTCTTCTTACTGAATTTCTGGATATATCGTTTTGCGTTTTTACTTGTGGTGCTGGTTTTAAGGGAATTTTGAAAGAAAAGTCTTTTTGGGCTAAATCATGAAGTGGGTTCTCTATAGCTGGCGAGTCTAAGCTTTCATCTCTCTAGAATGAAACACGAATGTTTAGAACTGCTAAAAGTGTACGTTTTTGAGCAAAAAAACTTACAAACAATATTTTATTGGGAAATGTGTTATGGTTGTCGTCAATTGGGCTGCTTGCCGCCCTTGCTGGCTTCTGCATCAATTGAGCTACTTCTCTGTAGACCATTTTGGTCACTGTATCTTGTATTTTACCCCAAGTTATTCTAAAAATCATTACATATATAATTGCTCAGAGAACATTTTGTATTAGGAATAGTTCGAGGCTTCAATTACTTTGGAGTGTTTTCCTCTTTCAAGCTCTCAGCAGACATTAGTCTTGAAGAACGCCTTGTTGGCCGCCTAAGTGTATTCTGTATAACTGACTCTAAATTCGCTATACGTTCCAAAATTAGCGCTTCGGTCCTAACCATATGCTTCTTTACCATCGGACTGTAAGCAACCAAATAAACTTCTGAGTTTTAAGCGAATTAGGTAACTTATTACCTTAACATTTGCTGTACATCTGTAATCGCGGTCTTCTTAGCAGATAAATCGATTGAAAGCGATACCTCAGCATGGCTAATCTCACTATCTCGTTCATTAATCAGAGGAAGCAACGTCATTCCGAGGCTTCTACTTATAGGGGTCTTCAGCGGCGTTTTCCATCTCTTCATAGGAGTCCTGCCCTGGATAAGACTCATAGGAGTCCTGCCCTGGATAAGACGCTCAGGATTATCCTTCTTAAATTTAGCAACTACTTCAGGATTGCAACGAATTCTTTTAGTTCTTTGGGCAAAATCCAGAGTTTGCAGGGTTTCGGTAATATCTTCTGGGTCAGCACTAACGCACGCTATTAGCGAGATGTAATTATCAATATTTAAAGATTCTGAAATTGGGGGTTTTATTTTTTCTCTGTGGATGTATATCAAGAACATACCTTTGAGGATGCTGGTAATCGTTGATTCTCTATATGGGATATAGGAGGACCTGGCGGACAACGCAGAAATAACCTGGCCGATGCAAAGAAGGCCTTTGTTGATGTTGATTCCTTCTTGGAAGGTACCGCCCTTACTGCCGGTCTTTTTAACGCTTTCGGAACCTGCCAGATCTACTAGGTTCAGTTTACCGAAAACATCTTCGGAGCTGCAAGGATTATTGGTTGTAAGAAAGTTTCGGGTGTGAAAAAATATTTTAGTTTTTGTTTTAAATCTTGATTTGAGCTGGTTTCGATATTCCCATATCGGCCCTGTTTTAAACAATACCTGGTTTTTGTAGAGATGTAAATAGTAAATACGGCATGAGATCTAGAGCTATTGGAGTTTTGCCTAGTCTCCCCCGTGTGCCTGTTTTTATTGCCCAATTGCAGCCATTCGCTAGCTTGAGGGGCGGTTTTAACATTCTTCGTACTAAGACCGGGCACCGTAAAACCTAAGAGCCAAAAAAACAATTAATTGCGACCTAGTTTGCAAGATTTTCCTCTGCTTGAACCTATACAATGAATATTGAGCTGAAGAAATACCTGAAACTGGCAGGGGAGATTTGCAATCACTTTTCAACAAATCAAAGACCTTCTCATTATAAATTTCCAAAAAAGAAATTCGCACGTCGATTTCATTTTTACAGTTGTTCAAATATTCTTCATTGAGTAGTTGATCCAATGCCCGGGGGATTATTCCTGTTTGAAACTGAAAAACCAAACAGCGAAGTGAATTTTCTGAGCCACCAAGATAGTGCCAGAGCAAATTTGTGGCTTACTTGGGATCCCGACCCCATTGTATAGGTTTTTCCAGTTCCAGTCTGCCCATACGCAAACACAGTGCAATTGTACCCCAATTTTACTAAATTCACCAAAGGCCTGACAGCATCATTGTATACCTTTTGCTGATCGGCGTCTTCCAGAAAAACATTGTCGAATTGGTAGGTCTGTGACCGCTCTGGTAACAGCAGAACCTTAAATAGATAATTTAGCTGTATTTACTACTAATGAGCAAGGAAAAATTCTACTTACGGGGGGATCTTTACTGATGAGTTGCAGCGAAGATGTTTCGCTCAACAGGGGCCTGCTTCTCACCGATACCTGTATATGTTCCTTCTGCGAGTCCATTGGCATGTAGAAAATGGTTAAACATGGATAAAAGATAAATAAAGTCAAGGGAGTTTTAAATTTACTTGTCTACATATGTGTGCTTTAACCACAGACCAGTTTTAACGGATAAAATTAAAATAGTTCAAATCTTCTTCTCTATCCCGTCAGAGACTCAAATCTCAGAGGTTATCAGACACAGCTGCCAAACTGTCGTGTATTAAATATACAATATGCCTGGCGGACGTATTTCTGTCCTTTATGTCCTGATCTTTCCGACTACTTCAAATAAAATACTAATCTGGATAAAAATCTGGATGGAAAGTTTTTGATAAAAAAAACCAAGATAATTTTGTTAAAACTTTATTTTCATACATGTTTAGGAAATTCCTCTCGTTGAATAACGAGACTTTTGAGGAGCGATGCTGCTAATAAGCTGATTGGAGGAAGAGTTTCCAATGGTGCTTCAATGTACTGAAAAAACACAATGAATGAAAAAAACTGTACGCGAATTATCGCAGTCAATCCATACATCTTTATAGCCTTTGTAGCTCATATCTCTTCGGAACATGTGCTGCTTAACATCGCGTGTTACTTGGCTGGTTTGAATTTTCGGTTTTATCTTATCAAATATCGACAGTTTTTCCGAAAAATCTTCCACATTTTCCTTATAGACGTACGGCTCTTCACTTTTACTTATACAATACAGCTCCTACAATCCAATAAAACAATTAAAACGTACCCAATAAAAACACACAAATCGCTTACACTGCGAGCAGTCATGAAAAACAGATTCGTGCGCTCATACCATTGCAGCCTGGTATCACTACTGTAACTGCTAGGCACAAATGTGGCTGCTACAATGTTCTCACTTTCCTTAATTAGATCGTTGCTGGAAAATAAGAGGGTCGAAGCTGCTGGCTCGAAAATATACACTGGAAAACGCGCAAAATAACCAGTTATTAACTGAAATAATTTCTAATTAACTTCACTTACTTGTCCGAACGGGCTTTCTATTTTTCTTGCCATTGCACAGCAGTATCATGTATGTGGATAATGAGTCAGCAACCAGCAGGGTAATATCGGGAACATTTGCCACCCAACTTAACGTTAAGGTCAGTATATTCCAAACGCACAGATGCGATTTACTGGCTGTTACAATCAAATGGCACTGGCTTCCTTAAATAAAAGATTGCGTAATAAGAACATAAAGTGTGCTTTGCTAGAAAGTACCTTTTCCAAATTGAATACACTTAATTTTCTCCTTGTAACTGGAGTGCAGCAGTGAACTTTTAAGTTCGCAGTTTTCGGCAGCCCATACGGTCAAAATAGGGCCAAAGGCAATGGCAAATAAAGAACCATCTATCGAAAAGGATAATCCGCGACAGGGCATATCGCGGAACGACCCGATATTTACACATTTCCACACTGGGCCTGATCCTAAGGCGAAAAAACTTACCAAACACGCTTTAATATGCTGAGCAGAACTTACTGTAAACATTGCTGATTTGTATTACTTGCCAAACCTTGAAGGACTTATCGTTTCCAACAGTGATGCATTTCAAATTGTCCCCTTTAAACGAAGGTTGAAACTGCACAGAATTTATTGAACCTTCATGAGGAAATTCCGCCGAAGTGTTGAGCTCGTAGCTGGAAGCATTAAGAAGTACTTGAAAAAAATTCGCCTAAAACATTCCACAACTACCTTTGCTTTGTTGTGTCGAAAAACCAAAATTTTAGCCTTAGCTCCTTGCAGAGTTTCCCTTCTTTTCGCTCTTCAGTAGTGGCTAACCACCTGCCATCCTCGCTTAGCGCCAGTTTGATCACTTCAGTGTTTTCTATCTTACAGTTTCTTTCATCTGTTAATTTATTTTGATTCACTATATCAACCTGAAACGATTAACAGTATTTTAAAAGTCCTACGCAGCTACCAACCCACTAACATTATAAAGAAGAGACATGTCGCTGGGGGAATAGAACTGGACACAACCAACATTGCCATTCATCACTATTGACCGAGTTATTGGGTCATATGTAATGCCACTTTCGTAGTTAGTCCCTAAAACGAGTTGCTGGATAAGGCCCACTTGGCTCATTCTGGAGTCGATTATTCTTATCGCATTGTCCGAGGTAGCGACAGCAACATAGGCATTGTTGTCCGATACTGCAAGCTGAGCAATGCCCGCTGGTAATCTGCAAATTTTCAAATTGTGCAAGAAATGCCTTTGAATGATCAGTTGAACTCACCTAGGCAGAAATTGCTTTATACTGGGATTTTCTATTATCCATTTGACTAGCACTGACTCATTGGCGCCGCTATAAAAGTGGCTGCCCAACGTAGAAAACGCGACGCAATTCACTGGCAAAGTGTGCCAATGGAAAACAGCCTGAGTTTTCTTCGAAAAAATTCCCTGCCACAGAACGACTCTTCCAGTATCGTCTCCCGTTATCACGATTTCTTCCTCTGGATGGCAGGCAACGCATGTGAAAGTTCGGTTGTTTTCTGCCATCTTATAGCTGAAAAATCAACATTAAACTTCAGCTTAATTTTTGCAGAAAATGTTACATTTTACCTGCTTCTGAGGAACGTTTGCAAACTAACAAAGTAAACCACATTTCCCATAACCACCGCAAAAAACTTCTCCTTGCAAATATGCGCAGAGAACGCTCGCTTGGGAATCTTCAACACCACCTTCTGTTCGTCGATTTTCTTAGTATTCACTATGCAAAAAGCAGCTTGCTTCCGCACTCCTTTGTAGGCTATTAAAACGTCCAGACCGTTCACTAAGTTGCCAGAAACCAGACCAAAGAAAGTCACATTTTGCTTGGGGATTTGCTGTAAAACACATTGCAAAATGCCTTGTCCAAACAGCAAGAACAGGACTTACCGCCTCAAGCAGTATGACTTTATTGCCAACTTTCCAAACAAGCAATTGTCCGCTCTTGGAGCAGGCAATCAAGCATTCCAAGCTATCAATCACATGGAAATCGAAGCCAATAACATCAGTATCCCAGCCTTTATATTGGTAGATCTCTTTGCCAGTTCGGGTGTTGTACTGGGAAATCGAGTTTTTCGAAGCAACGAAAATACTCCTAGGGACAAGCCATTATTAAAAGTGCAAAACTGCTGGATTTTTGTTCGTTTCAACTGAACATGCAAGGCATAAATGATGTGATAAAGCAGTCATTTGGCAATTTCGACTGCAGTTAACAGAGTATATGCAATTCCTGTTTAATGCCTGTCCTTCAATAAATTACGGATAAATGGGTATAGGAACACAACTGCTGACTGAGATAAAGTTATGGTGGAAGATTTGAGGAAATTGAACTAAAGACTGAACGTTCACGCCGGAAAGTAGCCGCATTTCATTAAAGTTTTACATCTTCCATTGTACTTACTCTCCATTTGTGGAAAACACTGGTTTCAAGTTCACAATGGAACCGCCACCTACAAACTTTACAGAAACATCCATTCTTATTGAATTATAAAATATTATTTAAAAACACATTGGGGAAACATCACAAGTGATCTTTCCGCTTTAAGGTTATATTCACAGATTATAAAGGTTAGACACACATAGAAGACTAGAGAGAGACAAGATTTGGAGGACTTGCATGGGCAAAAATAAGCTGCTTGCCAAGTGAATTTCGGGATTTTTTTTAGCGAAAACCAGCTTTGGTCTGAATATGGCTGTTTCGTCACTTGATAGGGCGTTCTTTGTTCTATTGAAGGCGAAAGTTTCAGATTAATCGCCGACTTCGCTGAGTGTGGACAATTTTTTTAGTTTGGTGTGAATTCGTCGAAATGTCGACATTTGCACACTGATTTTCAATAATTTTTTTCTCCGAAACTAGAGCAGATAGAAAAGCGCTGGTTACCTCAACAGAAAGAGTTTATTTTGCTCTATTTAAGCGGAAAGTTGTACTCAGATCGGAATATTGGTTGAGCTTTGGCGAATTTTTGCAATTTAGTGCTTTTAAACATCGACAGTTTTGAAGCAGATTTTCAATAAATTTTTCACAAATCCCAAATCTACCCAAAACGAAAAATGCTGGACGCCGTTGATTAGTTGAACAGTTCTTTGCTGTACTGATACCGAAAAGTGCACTTTCGTCAACAAATTTTGGAGCGGTAAAAACTCTCAAACTTGCGGCCTTGCTGTTTTCGATAACTTCTATTGGTACTAACGACTTTTTTCGTTTCAAAAACGTTTAATTGCCCCTTAAAACTCCGTTCAAACCAATAAATATTATTAATAATAAAATAGTACAAATACAAGAGGGTAAATATTACAATTTTCCATTTTTGCCATAAAATCGACTTATATTGCAACTAAATAAATCAGACTTTTAGTTCTTATAACCGTTAGTTTCCACGTATTTTACATTGCGTCTGCTCGGGTAATTGGTACCCTTTCGGCATTCTCACCTCGACCTGAAACCCCCGTACAAAAATCAACAAAACTCTCCGAATAAAACGGGAATTTTAAAATACCTCGTAACATAATCCCGTGCTGTTTCAGCAAATGCCGTTTTCTGGACGTGAAATTCATTTCAGTTCTGCAATATTCACATGTAAACTTTTTCCTTTTGATGCCTTCTTCCCTGATTTTGTGGCGTTTTAAATGTTTTCTCAGTTCTCCCTCTGTATACATTTTTCCACATTTAGGACAAGGTTTCTTCTACAATACATTATTAATTAATTTAATACGTAAAAACAAACACGCTCTTACCTCTCCATGACTGTCTTTTCTGTGCCTTAAAAGCGTTCCATTGCAGCTAAAGGCCTTGCCACAGATTTCACACGAAAATGGACGTTCTCCTAAAAGCCAAAATAATTCCCATTACAGCCAGTTGTTAAATGGAAAAATCACACCACCTGTATGCCACTGTCGTATGTGCGTTTCCAGATAATGCTTTTCGTAGAACTGCTTCCCACAATAGTTGCAAGTGCATGTGGGTTTTTTCAAGTGCACTTTTCGTCGATGCAATATCAGTCCTCCGATTTGCCTATGATTAATTCCGACTTGAATCTTTGATTTTACATAAATTAACCCTCTTACGTGTAGGATTTATCTGGGCACAGTTCACACACATATCCTTTCTCTCCTTTGTGTATCCTTTGATGAATTATCAGATTCTTCTCCCTGTAAAATTTCCTAGGGCATACGTCGCACGTAAATCGCTTTTTCACTTGGGCTTTATCTGAATGGTGATATCGTCTATGGGCGACAAAGTTCTGAAAAACCATCGAATTGCCGCAGAAGTTCACATGGATGTCTGTTAGCTCTACCTGTCTAGTTCCAGTAATAACTCTCCCACAATCTGGACACAAACAGCTAATTTTATCGGGCTTATCGGGCTTTTTCCTGTGCACTGTAGTCATGTGAGAATTGAAATTCTGCAAGATATCAGCGCTGTTTTTCAATTTTTTAAACAATGTAACAACTTACCTGTTTCGCTTTGAACAATTTGCCACAAATGGGGCAAAGCCTGGGTTCTTCTGTATCATCCCGTTTAGCTTTGCCTTTAACGCTTGCCTTTGGTTCCTCGTACTTTATCTCCCTCCTCAATTTCTCCAAAGGTACATCCGAGTCCCCATCGCTAGAGGTGTCGGAAATCTCCTCCAAAGGCCTCTGTTTCCGTTTCAGTGTTCTTTTTTTACGCGTTTTAATCCCTGTGGATTTAACGTTGTATTTCTTCGCTCCATAAGACCTCTTCCCAGATTTTTCCTCGAGGAAATCGTCGGATGATGTATAATCATTTGCGTCGTTTGAATCCAGCCAGTCGTCCGCGCTCTTTTCACCATCAGAATGTACATTAAATCTGAGTAAAGTTGGGCAAAAAAGTAAAAGTAGTCCAGTCAAAGTGCATTCAGAATTCAAATGACTTACTTTGCTCCTTGTTTGCAGTCTTTTTGCCCATTGCACTGCTGTCCATTGTCTCTGACTAGTAGATCTTCCTCCTTAATATCTATTTTGCTTTTTTCATTGCCTATTTCTTCACTACAACTTTCAATAACCAGCTGTACACTATCACGACTTAGAAACAGTGGATCTTCAATCTGATGTTCCTGTCTACTTTTCAAAGTAAGATGCGAACGAATCACTTGACTTCTAAACAATGCAGCTGATTTCAGCGATGTAAAACAAACCTGGCAAATCTGTTTCGGCAAGATATCATTCTCGGTTACCTTGAAGAAATCACAGGGAGTTAAGTCGGGGGTTGAATCCGGTTTATTGAATACTTAAAATTCAACTTGAACAATTTTTAATTCAAAAACCTACCTGGATAGAGGCGATTTCTTGAATTGCTTGTAATACACTTTGCTGTTCTGTAAGGGAACTTTCGACATTGACCTGCGACTGATTGATAATGTTATCTAAACACGTCCTACATTCTATTGCATTGTTCATTTTATATTAATCAATGAATTTGCTAATTTAATTTAAACCTTGTATTTGTTTATTTTCTGATTTGTGTATCTTTTACAAGGGCCATAACCTCATTTTTGTCGTCAATGTCCATACGTCAAAGCTTCGGATGTTGAAATTCCGAAGTTTTTTTTATAGTGTATCTTACTTGCACTCATCGGGATCACTGATCGCTCTGGTATCTCTTTTTAAATCGCCAAATTAGACTTATGCCAAAAGAAATTCAAATAAAGCCCCGTTGCCGTCTGGTTAACTAACGCTGTTAATTTCCTGGATCGACATTCTTTAGATCTGCACTTACAATATCTTGCTTTAGCCAAATATATCCAATTTGATAGACATATTTTGTGTTAAAAATTGCACTTGATAAACTTTGAGAAGTTTATTGCAGGGCTTTCTGAAACGTCTGATAATGTATCAGATCAGCGATAAACCCACCCTTTTGGCAACGAGGCGTTAACTGTCCAGGTGTTTTTACAAATATAAACATGAGAGACAACTACTTTTTCACTAGTTTTAACGGTTTTTTCCAGTAATTTGCGAAGAAGCAGCGTATTTATTATGATTAACGTGAAATAAATATAGTAAAATTAGCGGGGTCAAAATGGTGCGTTACTCCGCTTTAAAAGGTCTTTACGAGACTGAGAAAACCATAGGATGTGGCGGTTTTGCCAAAGTGAAATTAGCCACCCATTTAGCAACTGGCGAAAAAGTGGCCATAAAGATTATGGATAAAAAGATGTTGGGTGACGATTTGCATAGGGTTTCACTGGAGCTTCAGGCTCTGAAGCACTTGAAACATGACAACATTTGCCAGCTCTATCAAGTACCGTCCAGGATTTATCCAAATAAGGCAAATTGTCTATTTTCCTACATTCCAGGTGATCGAAACTGAGTCCCAATTCTTCATTATAATGGAATATTGTTCTGGAGGCGAGCTGTTTGATCACATAGTTGAAAAAAACCGACTAAGTGAATCTGAAAGTCGAATGTTCTTCAGGCAAATTGTCAGCGCTGTAGCTTATCTGCACAGCGTAGGATATGCCCATCGCGATCTAAAACCTGTATGTATTTATACACAGTGCCACAACCCTTGAAATTTGCAGTTTTCATGCACCTAACAAAATCGAAAACTTCCAGGAAAACGTTCTTCTAGATAAGCAGCAGAATTTGAAATTAATTGACTTTGGCTTATGTGCAAAGCCAGAGGGAGGCATGGAAAACCCTCTGCACACTTCCTGCGGATCCCCCACGTATGCGGCACCTGAATTGATTTTGGGGCAACAGTATTTGGGGTGCGAGGTGGATGTTTGGGCAATGGGAGTGCTGCTTTATACGTTGCTAACTGGAAGTTTACCCTTTGATGATCTCAGCATTGACAATTTGTATAGGAAAATACTGGTAAGAGCCCTTCAATCACTTTTCCATGTCAGTGCTAAGCAAAAATGTCACAAAACCATGGAATAGTAATCAGAGGAGATGGAAGTCTAATCCTTTTCGGACTGCATAATCATTATCAATTGGATTTACCTCCAAGGCTTATGTCCAAACTAGCCCCGGAAGAATATAGGTAGGAAGCACAGGGAAAAAGAGCCTGTTAAATTTGCCAAATTTCTACATTAACTTCAGATACACAGTGCATCAGATTAACAAGTTGCTGGCCAATGATATTTTCAGAAATTTTCTTTGCTTCCTCACTGGATGCTTCCCCTGCCTTTGTACGGCTGGCCTAACATTGTTGCCCTCGATCTTGCTTAATAAAGTCACCAAAAAGAAAATCAGAAGAGTTCTGGAAAAGGAAAATATAAGAATTTATAATGGTTTGGACATGAACTGGTCCCTGGTCAGCCAGAAGTTCGGTTCAAGCGTTGAATATTGCTTGCAAATCGAGTTCATCAGCAAGCCTGTCAGCATTGGACCCGACTGATTTGAATACTATTACTATAGAGTTGTTTTGCGTATCTATTAATAGAGTTCCAGCAGAAAAGGAGTTTTTTTGAATAATGATTATGTGAACAATAAGAGGTTTGTGTTAGCCAATTTGTATTGTTGATTAACGTATTTGTTTCAGAATGGGAAATATCACGAACCGGATTTTATATCAAAGGAAAGTAAAAATCTAATCAGATCAATGCTGCAAGTAGAACCGTCCAAGCGTATCAAAGTTTCTAAACTTCTAAATCATTCGTGGCTGACTCTGGGTGTTTTAGAGCCCGTGAGTTATAGAAGTAAGAACTCTTCGGAATTGGATAGTGATTGCGTGCAGGTATGGCCGTGGAATGTTGGAAACATTTTTTTTAATTCAAGTAAATTATTCTCAGTCAATGGGGAAGTTCATAAATTTGGATGAAACATCGATGCGAAACGAGCTGAGCAAATGGAAGTTTGATTACGGCACCGTCACCTATTTTCTGCTATTAAATCGCAAAAAGAATGGCCAAAGCCTAAGGCTGAATTCGACCTATGGCTGGAAATTGGTGCGAAACCCCGACATCAATGTACCTCTATTGGAACTGCCGGTGAACGTTTCCAACAGACATAATCTCACTCCGCATCACCGTCAGAAGCTGGAAAGTCCCGGGAATCTATTAAGTCCAAAACCACAAACTTTCCTTGCTGGGTTCAGTCCCTCAAGGCAGTTTTTGGAAGCGAAACATGTGGCTTGTGAAGCTGCTGGCAGAAAGGCTGCAAAAAGACCGCGGAGTTTTGTTTTGGAAGATTCATCCCCAGGTGAACGATCAACTACTTCAAGTTCAAATTTGAAAAACTTTAAATTAACGCTTTGTTTGGTTTTTCCACTAAGCAACGTGATCAATCCATAAATATCCAGGGCTTGTCGCATGTATCTGGGAAATGGTCGACAGGTGAAGCAGTTAAAAGTTTAAAGGGGCGGCTTTGCGCGTCTTTGCCGGCCCTTTCGACTTTCTTTACGACCCTGCAACTCTTAAATTAGTTGGGGGACTAATAAGGCTCCCTTGGGTCACATACGTTACGAGAAGTTCCCCAGCAGAGGCGTGGTCGGATATTTTCGGCTTCCTAATAGGAACTCATCATGCCTTTTCAATGAGTTGTTCCATTAAACATTGTCTTCCAACGGCGGTGACATTGCTGAGGAGCTTTATCGATTGTTCTCGGTTGAGCTTTTAGTAGTTTTGCTTATCGGATGCCGACTGGGCGCCAATGGGAGAGCTCGCGTGAAATAATGACCATTTTAACTTTTGCCGCCTATTTGCAATACCTTGCAACTTCTTGGAGCGTCCCAAGCCATTCTGGCGATTTATGGGCGCAGTTACTGTGTTAGTTTATTGCCTGGAAAAACTATAATATCACGGGACACTATGCTAGTAGAAGATGGCGCGGATTCCAAATGGAACAGCACTAGTATACCTACATTTTTTGTTTTTTTCAGTTCCTTCCAAGAAGCTGACACCTAGAAAGGAGACTCCATTCAATACTCCTGACGCGTAAGTGTTTTTGCTGTTTGAATCGGCTGTTTAGTATTTATTTCGTGCTACACACGCCATACACTAATTTGTGTAAAACCACTCTTTACGTTTACACAGTCCCAATAAACAGAGGGTTCATGGGGGCAGGAGCTTACTTTATGGTCATTTCCCATCGTACACTTCCGAGCTTTACGAGCCCAATTAGTGCCGGCCATTGATGAGCATTCCCGTACACTAATTTGCCAGATTCCAGCCTTTGTTTAGGTGGACACATTCTGGCTACCGGGCGATTTTTGCGATTCTTTTAAAAAATATTTCGGTTGCTTTGAGATGAGTTTATAAGCTTTACAATTCTCAGCACGTTTTTCAAAACTTCAAATTCAGCGCGTTCTTCATCCAATTTTTACACTGATTTTTTTTGAGTTACTAAATTGCTGACTTTGTAGGCATAAGTTGAAACAAATTGAGGCGACAGTTTCAAATTTTGACGATTCTCAAGACGTTTTTAAACAACTCGTTTTCCTGGAGCGAGATTTATGCAATTTTTTGCACAAAAAAATAATTTCCTTGCTTCGCCAGGAGCTAAGAAATTGCCCAGTTTTGTATTTTGAAGACAAAAACTTCAAGTTATCGGCCAATGTTTCGAAGTTTGATCGTTCTCAAACATTTTTCAGAATGTTTAAAGCAAAGCGCGTTTTTCCGGCGCGGGTTATTGCGATTTTTGCATTTTTTCTTTAAAAAAATCATTTCTTTGCTTAGGGAGAAATGAAGAAAATGTCGACTTTTGGAGTTTATAGACAAAAGTTCAAATAAACCATGCCGAAAGTTTCAAATTTTGACCATTCTCAAAACATTTTTCAGAAATTTTCAAACGTTTGTGTGTTACATGCGCCCGCTTTATGCAGTTTTTACACTCATTCTTAAAAAAATAATGTCTGCTTCGGGTAGAGTTAATGAATTGCCGGCTATTGGATTTTGTAGGCAAAAGTTGAAACAAATTGAGCCGAAAGTTTCAAGTTTTGCGGATTCTCCGGACATTAAAAATATTGCTAGTTTGTATTCGTTGCTTTTACCAAAATAATTGCTGATATTGCAGAAAAAAGTCCTTTACGGGCTCCAACGACACTCCAGGCTCGGCCAGAAGAATGCTGGGTAGTTTGGAGCGATCTCTGCATAAAGTGAGGCATGTTCTCACGCCGAAAAAGCCTCTGCATTCAATTTCTTCTGGTCCGGTGGTGCTTAACAGCAAAGTGAGTCTTTTCCAAAAAGTTATTTAAGAGATGCGAAAAACGCCATTATTTCAGGAGCTGTGCAATGTTTCCACCACTCAGTGCAAGGATCCGGAATTTGTAATCGCCGAGCTCTCCAAAGCCCTGGAAAAGAAGGGAATTGTCTGCACAAGAAAAGGGTAAGGCCTATAACTAGACAACCCTGTATATGAACTGAAATCGACATCGAAACCAAACAAATCATTGTTAACCGGAACTTATTGTCGATGCATATAATTAGAATGGAAATCGTTGCCTCCAGCAATCAAACTCAACAAAAAGCTGCATTTGATTGCTTGCTTAGGACGTTAAACCGAATAATTCTGCCTGCAAGGAGCTTCTGATTTGAATGCGATTGCTTATGCAACAGTTCGTTTGCCATGTTATTGTTGCAGGTTTCGATTAAAAGGATGCTTGGAGCCGAATACGCTGGATCGTTTGGGCGGCTGTTCATTCGAGCTGGAAATCTGCTTCTTGCCCGAGCTTGGAGTTCAACAGCTCACGCCTGCCAAGTCGATTTTGAAGCGGGGACTGTTCAACAAGAGCCTTACGAATTCGAAAAGTATCAACGCGAGCGAAGGTGTTGATCGGCCATCTGAAGTAGGACCTGGTTCTTTGGTAGGTATCAGGCGCAAGAGGCTCAAGGGAGACTCTTGGTGCTACAAGAGGGTTTGCGAGCAAGTGCTTGCTCTGACCTCTACAGGCCTGCAGGCTAAAAGCAGGGATAAGTTGCTCGAATCCTCAGTCTAAGAGGATTGAGCGGTTTGATTAATACTCCAAAGGGGGGGTGGATGTTCGTTTGATTTGGTTTTTTGGGGGGACTGCGTCCACTTTTGCTAATCGTAATATTTGAGGCAGTCCTGCAGAGTCTATTTATTGATGCTTTTTATACGCAGACGTATTTTTGGACTGGTACTTGTTCTCATCGTTTATTTAAGATTAATTCCTTTCAGAAATTGAAGGCTTTATATTTTTTTGGGATACACTAGGACACTTTGTATAGGAAAATTTAACTTTATCTCTGGACATTATTGTACATGTCTAACTAAATCATTTTCTATTATATATTATTCGATAACAGTTCTTTTATGTTTCCCGTCTCCTTATTGCATTTCCTTTCTTTTCCTTCTAACGTTTTTAAGGGTGAGCGGCCCTTTCCTGCTTCTAGGCAGGTTGCAGTTGGGCAGTCTTTCCAATAAAATTCCAATTCCAAATGTCCCTTTGTTATTGGGCTAGATTTTGGGAGAAACCAGGGTTTACCAGGTGAATTAATTGGAGAGCCTACTTTATATGCGGAGATGCTCGAGATGTTTGCAGAAATATGGGCAAAAAGACCGTTCGTTGGTCAAAAAAGTTAATTAAAACGCTTCTCACGGTGCCCGACGAGATTCCGTGTTAAAATTAAAATTAATATAAACTATTCGCTGCCAACACCTGTGCTCAGTGGTTTTGACAAAGAATTTGCATTTCAGTGAAGTGTTAAGCGTTTGATCAACGGTTCTTATCTGCTATTTTATTTTTATAATCGGAATTGGTGTGTACACACTGGATGAAATCAAAGAATCGGTCTTTTTTGTATTGTAGTGTGTAATTAACGGTCTTGTGAGCACCCTCAACTCCATAAGTTAAAATAAAATAACAGCACGAACAGACTCTTGTGTCACACAAGAGAGTTCAATTTTAAACGGTTTACACCATTTTACACTATTTTAGAGAATTTTAAACTCATTTAGTCTGTTCGTGCTGTTATTTTATTTTTGTTGTCAATCGGTTAAGTACCTACTTTTTATTTGAGTGAAAATAAAATTTGCCCCAACCCGATTCATTCGAATTACATAATATTTTCCCACATGTTGAATGTTATTCAAATTGATGTGAATTAATTGAGAAAATCCAAAATTCCCATACGTCCCCCTTTTTCGAAAATAGCCACTTTTTCGACGGCTCACTGGCAAAATATAGAGAAACTGAATAAATTCGTAACGCTGACTGGTTCGGTCAGGTGTGGGGCTTTTTAACGGTGGCAAAGCCGTTCGTTTTACAAAGTGGTTTTCAACTTTGTCTGTTGCACTTCCTTCCTTTCGCGTTTTACTACTGGGAAATGATCATTTTGGGTTTTACGTGGAGATTTACGTAAAAGTCCCAATGACTTGCTTTCTCGTCAGAAACACCCGTTTTGACTACATGATTGAACCTGAGCTTTTGCAGGTCCATGATAATCGCGAAAATTACGCTACTTATTATGTGAAAAATCCATTTTTCTACTCCCGGGGTAATAAATACGAGATTTCATCGGTAACATAAAGACTGTATGGCCCGATAGCTGGTCATATCTGGGTAAGGCGACAATTGTTCTAAAGAAAATCGTCTGATTCCCATGCGTATTTTACGCATTCGCAAGCAGGCGATCGTTATTGTTTTCCCTAATACGTATTTATGTCAAATTGATTTGAAATTATTATGGCTGCCAGGTGTAAGCTATTGCCGTCCATGGGTATCTGATTGCTTTCCGATCCTATCGGTGAGAAAACGAAGACACACACAGAAAATGTTTGCTTTTCTCCACTGAAAAGTGCTGCAAGATTTTTTATTTGCACTTGTACAAGTTCTCCAGACAGTTTCAAATTAAGCTCGTTTTTTTTGGTGTGGGATTTTTGCAGTTTTTCTTGCGAAAAATTATTCGCTTGTTTTGCCATCAATTAGGAAATTACCTTAAATTTTGTGAGGAAAAGTTTAAATAAATTTATCCGATAGTTCTGAATTTTGACGATTGTTACAACATTTTTCAAAATTTTTTGATCTAAGCGCGTTTTCCTTGCGCGGGATTTATGCGATTTGTGTTCTTTGTCGTTGAAAAATATTTCTTTGCTTTGGGAAGACTTCAGAAATTGCCGACTTTTGAATTTTACAGGCAATAAATTGAGCGGAGAGTTCAGAAATTTGACCATTCCCAGAACATTTTAAAGAAATTTTCAGCGCGTTTCAAACTTGCTTTGAGATGAGTTTCGAAAATGACGCCTTTTAGATTTAGTAGTCAAAAGTTGAGACGAACTACGCTGAAAGTTTCGAATTTTAACCATTCAGAGGGCATTTTCAAACGGCGCGTTTTTTGGCGCACGCTTCATGCTGTTTTTGCACTGGATCTTAAAGAAATTATTTCTTTGTTTGCACTGGATCTTAAAGAAATTATTTCTTTGCTTTGAGTTGAGTTCATAAATTAGCGATTTTCGGTTTCTCACTTCGCTGAAAGTTTCGAATTTTTTCCATTCTGAGTGCATTTTTCTTGTAAAAATTTTTTAAACTAAGCGCTATTTACATGTTGAAGTTCATGTGAATTTGTCGCTTTCATCCTTTCATATCTCGTAAAAAATATTTTTTTTGCTTCGGGAGGAGATAGGAATTTTCCCTTTTTGGATTTTGTTAGAAAAGGTTGAAATAAATTCTGAATTGAAGATTCCCAAGACAGTTTAAAGACATTTTCAAACCAAGCGCGTTTTTCTGCCGCAATTTTCATTGAACTTTGCACTGATTCTTTAAAAATATCACTTGTTTGCTACGGCTTGAGCTAAAAAATTGCTGACTTTCGCATTATGTAGGCAAAAGTTGAAATCACTTGAGCCGAGAGTTTCAAATTTTGGCGACTCTCAGAAGATTCTAAAAAAATGTTCAAACTAAGTGCGATTTATTGGAGCGCCGTTCATGTGAATTTGGTACGTTTTCTTGAAAAACATCATAATTTCCTTGCTTCGGGAGGAGTTACAAAATTGCCGATTTTTGTATTTTGTAGACAAAGGTTGAAATAAATTGAACCGAGAGTTTCGAAGTGTGAGGATTATCAAAACTATTTATTCTAATTTATCAAAGTAAACGCGTTGTTGTGGGGCGATATTTATGCGATTTTTGCACTTTTCGTATAAAAAATAATAATTTGTGTGCTTCGAGATGAGTTAGGAAAATGGCAACTCTTGAATTCTGTAGCCAAAAGTCGAGATAAACTACGCTGAAAGTTTTGAATTCTTATCGTTCTCAGGACAATTTTTATAAATTTTTAAACTAGGCGCGTTTTTTGGCGCGCCGTTAATGTTATTTTTGCACTGGCATCTCAAAGAAATCATTTGTTTGCTTCGGGTTGAGTGAATAAATTGCCGGCTACTGGATTTTGTAGCCAAAAGTTGAAAGAAATTGAGGCGAGAGTTTGAAATTTTGTCGATTCTCTGGACATTTTTCATAAATTTTTCAAATTAAGTGCGTGTTTCTGGCACGCCATTCTCCGAGTCTTAATTAAATAAAATGCCGTTCTGTATAAAATTGAAAAAGACCAGAGCGACTGACTAATTTATGCACATACAAAGTTGGTCAGTTTTTCACCGGTACCCGGCGGTCACGCCGCGTGACCGCTACGAGGATTTACATGCATGATAAAAACTTTATATTCGTTGTTATTTTAATTTTTCATTGTCTTCTCGAAATGAATATAAATCGAGGACCCCTTTTAGATCCCCAGCAATTAAGGATTTTTATGTGAATGACGACATTATTTCTGATTAGGCCACTTTTAATTATGTCGGTACCGGTTGTATGAATGATGATTCAATGTTTTGTATTGTCGACAATTCCGTTTCAAGACTTGCAAAAAGCAGCGATGTTTCGAAAGCTAAACGACTGAAATTGCAAGCTTTGGGGGAGTTTGTGGTTCTTTTGAATTAAATTTTCTCATTTTTTCAAGCGGAATTTAATCTAATATGTACCTACTTTTTTAAATTATTGTCAAGAAACTCAATTCTGTAATTAAGCAATCTGTTTTTTTATTTATTCGAGTTGGCATTTTAAACTTACTTTATTAAACAACTAGCAAAAATTGATTTTTGACTCTAAAGCATTTTTCACTTACAAAACGTTAATAAATTTTGTTAAATTTGTAGTTTCTATTTTTATTTAAAACCCACAAAATGTCCTAAATTGCAATAAACATTCTTGAAGCCTTTAAGTTCACGATGGCAAAATATAGATTTAAATGAAGCTTTTGAATAATTCCCATTAACACAAGGGACTGATACTTATGAATGTGCTAAAAATTGTCCAATTTCGTGTAGTTAAATGCGAATGATTAAAGTAAAAGAAGAAAAGAAAGCTGTATTTATTCACTAAGAAAATCATCGTAAATCGTCGACGTGCACAATAAAAGATCGATAATTGTTAACAGATAAAATTCAACGGTGTCGTCGGAAGATTTACAATAATTTACATGGAGCGGCATCGGTTTGAAGGTGAGGAATATGGGCACAATGGGGCGAGATATCACAAGGATCTAAATCGGGTCGGTGTGGAGGTCCGTCTATCTTTGATACTATCTGGTCGCTGATATGTTTACGATTTTATTTGGTAAATCGATAAAACCGCGCCGCTTCGATCTATGATTCGTTTGGAAATTAAACTGCAATGAAAAGTCGTTAGACGTTGTTTCATTTCGATGACGAGTGAATTATCCAAAGTAATAATTTTCTCGCAACAGAAACTAGACGTTGGTGGTCAAGAAGCGTAACTTCTGGCAGCTGCTAAAAACTTCTTTCGAGGAAACGACTGTCTTGAAAGTTATACTTGGCTAACCACCCTATGGAACTACCCACAATTTAAATTGTTTTTGCTTTTAAAGCCGGCACCCTTTGAAACAGTAAAAAATGCACCAATAAGTCGGTTTTGGTGAGACTTTACCCAGGAAAATTCCTGTAGAGTGATTATTATTCAATTGTTTTTTTATTTTTCCTTATTTTCCTGTTTATTTAAAGTTCCCTTGGTATTTTTTGTGCATAAAAAGTGTTTATTTTTAAGCAATAAAAGTTTTATGAAAATCTGCTGTGTTTTTCTAGTTGCAAATGTCCAAAAGTCCCTTAAGTCGCATGCCATTTCGCTCAATTAGTGTTGAATAGTGCGCCCCGTTTTAGTTTCGCTCGATCAATTTTTTGCAAAATTCGGAAAAAATGATGCGTTTATTTGACAAATGGATCAGTTTCGTAAAAATCAAGTTTTTCTCCATCGTTTTATGCTATTTTTCTTACCGGTAGAGCGTTTTTAGCGATA